AATCGCGGGGTCGCGGGTCCCGAGAACAGAGCCCAGAGGCCTGGGGATGCCCTGGCCATGTGGGAGGCATGAAGGGGGGTATGGGTCGAGGCTGGGCGAGAAATCGCGGGGTCGGGGGTCCGAAGAACAGACCCCAGATGCATGGGGATGTCCTGGCCAGGGAGGGGAGGGGGGCATGGAGAGGTGGGGCATGGAGGGAAGTATCGGTCGATTTTGGGCGAGACATCGCGGAGTCGGGGGTCGATGTTGGGCGACAAATCGTAGGATCGGGGGTCCCAAGAACAGAGCCCAGATGCCAGTGGATGCCGTGGCCAGGTGGGGGGCATGAAGGGGGGTATCGGTCGACTTTGAGAGTGAAAGCGCGGGTGAAAGCGCGGGTGAAGATAAGTGAGGATCCGGGTGATGATGCTGGGTGAGAATGCCGGAGCGCGGCGGGGAGCGCCGGGGCGAAGAGGGGTGCAAGGAGGGGGGCGTTGATCGCTGGTGGAGGGAAATGCTCATGTGTTGCCAAGGTCGGTCGCACACGCTTGTGGGGTCGGCGGACTTATACACATATACATACATATGCGTGTATGCCTGGGGAGCGGTGGCCCAGGGCCCTAGCTGGGACACCCTTTCGGATTCCCCCCTTTTGCCCGCGACATGTTTGACCCCCCTCTGGGGCCTTTCGGCCCCCCCCATCAGGCGATCGCAAACATGGATCAAGGGGGCGTGGATTAGCGACGGGTCCCGTTTCCATGGGAAATCGCGGGTTTCCACCGCCGAACGAGGCGGCACTGGCCGCATTTTGGGGAGGGCACCTCCCCGATCCATGGATTTGGCGGCCGCGCGCCAAATCCATGGATCGCTAACAGTTGTGGAGGCCACCAATAAGCGACCAGAGCGGCCTGACAATGCGGATGACACCCGAATGTTGTTCCCAACCATCCTGTGGTGTTGGGTCCTCGTTTTGAAGAGACGGTGCCCCGCATTCTTCTCCTGTCCTCTCCTCTCCTCCTTCCTTTCCTTCCTCCTCCTCCCTCCCTGCGTTTTACCCACCCAGTACAGCGTTTCGTAGCCCCATAGAGAGCCCCACGGAAGGTCCCAGTGCTACCGTCCGCATGCGTCCCGCACACCCAGTACAGCATTTCGTGGCCCCTCCCTGCGTTTCCCCCGCCCATTACAGCGCTTCGTGGTCACATAGGGAGTCCCACGGAAGGTCCCCGTGCTACCGTCCGCATGCGTCCCGCACACTCAATACAACGCTTCGTGGCCCCATAAAGGGGCCCCACCGAAGGTCCCAGTGCTACCGCCGCATGCGTCCCGCACAACCAGTGCAGCGTTTCGTGGCCCCGTAGGGGGCCCCACCGAAGTTCCCAGTGCTACCGTCCGCATGCGTCCCACACCACCCAATGTGGCATTTTCACCCACCCTGTACAGAACTTCGTGGCCCCATAGGGGGTTTGCTCCACCGAAGCCCCCAGCGCCACCGTCCGCATGCGTCCCGAAACACCCACTTTGTCATTCTCACCCACCCAGTACAGCGCTTCGTGGTCCCATGGCAAGCTCCACCGAAGCCCCCAGTGGGACCGCCCGCATGCGTCCCACACACCCACTTTGGCATTTTCACCCACCCAGTAGAACGTTTCGTGGCCCCATAGGGAGCTCCATCGAAGCCCCCAGTGCCACCGTCCGTATGCATCCCACACACCAACTTTGGCATATTCACCCACCCAGTACAGCGCTTCGAGGCCCCATAGGGAGGGAGCTCCACCGAAGCCCCCACTGGGACGGCCCGCATGCGTCCCACACACCCAACTTGGCACTCTCACCTCGCCCACCCAGTACAGCGTTTCGTGGCCCCACAGGGAGCTCCACCGAAGCCCCCAGTGCTACCGCCCGCATGCGTCCCCCCCCCACCCAGTGCAGCGCTTCGTGGCCCCATGTGGAGCTTCACCGAAGGCCCACCGCCCGCATGCGTCGCACACACCCAACTTGGCATTTTCACCCACCTAGTACAACAGCGTTTCGTGGCCCCAAAGGGAGCTCCACCGACGGCCCCAGTGCTGCCGACCGCATGCGTTCCCCCCACCTAGTGCAGCGATTCGTCGCCCGATAGGGAGCTTCACCGAAGAAGAAATGCACAATTGCGGGATCCACAACTGCAGATGGTTGGGTCCTAAGAGGGTTCCAAGATGCGCCCCGAGAGCCCTTCAGAAGGCCAGAATTGTTCCCTTCCCGAGGGAAAACTGGCATCTGCAGCATACTCGCATTTGGGGTATCAACGGCGTCCACAACGGCCCAAGGGGTCCCAAAGATCGCCCCAAGACGGCCCAAGAGGCCCCCAAGAGGGCCCCAGGACGGCCCACGAGAGCCCCAAGACGGCCCAAGAGGCGCCTAAAACGGCCCGCGAGGGTCCTTCCGTAGCCATTTTAGCTCAAGCATTTTCGCTGAAAACATCTTTTGCGTGAGGGAGGTATCCAAGTTCACACCGTGCGGTGGCCAGCCGGCCAGCGCCCGACCAGCGTTCTCAGCCCGCGCGCGCTGTTTCAGGATGCCGAGGCGGCTCCCGCTGAGCCAGGGAAGCGTCAGGCGGTCCCCCCCCCCCCGAGTCGCACGGGCCCAGCCCGGCCCCCACGCGATGCCCCACGGCAGAGCCCAGACCCCCGACGTCATGATTTTTTCATTACGCGACCCCCAGGGGTCCGGACCTATTCGCCGGGACCGGTTTTTCATCCCGAGTCGTTTTTTGATTGTCCCGAGGGCCGGTATGGGCCCCCAGAGGCTGAAAATAGCGAAAAACCTTCAGTCGTGATTTTTTCATGACTCGAGGGGGTCTGGGCCCCGAGTCGCACGGGCCCAGCCCGGCCCCCACGCGATGCCCCACGGCAGAGCTGCGCGCCATCGGCGACCACCAGGACGCCGACGCGTGCAAGCACCGGCCCCCCCGGAGGGACGGCGGGACGAGGCGGCGCTCCTCGAGAGGCGGTGCGCTCCGCGAGCCCGCGCGCCTCGGCGACGGGCGCCCCGGGAGGGGGCTCCTGCGACGCCGGCGCCGAGCCCAGACCCCCTCGCGTCGTGAAAAAATCACGACGGAAGGTTTTTCCTAATTTTCGGCCTTTGGAGGCCCTAACCGGCCCTCGGGACCGTCAATTATTCACTGCGTGGGGATCCCCATATGTGCATCTCCTTGCTGGCGCTCCCTTGGTGGTGGGACTCGGTGAGGACGAATCTGGATTTAAGTGTGACTGAGCTGCCTCTCTCTCTGCTCTCTCTGCTCTCTCTGTCTCTCTCTGTCTCTGCCCTCTCTCTGTCTCTGCCTCTCTTTCCCTGCCTCTCTCTCTCTCTCTGCCTCTCTCTCTGCCTCTGTCTCTCTGCCTCTCTCTCTCTCTGCCTCTCTCTCTGTGCCTCTCTCTCTCTGCCTCTATCTCTGCCTCTCTCTCTCTCTCTCTCCTCTCTCTCTTCTCTCTATTCTCTCTCTCTGCTCTCTCTCTCTCTCTCTCACTCTCTCCTCTCTCTCTCTCTCGCTCTCTCTCTTCTCTTCTCTTCTCTTCTCTCCTCTCTCTCTCTCTCTATCTCTGCCTCTCTCTCTCTCTCTCTCCTCTCTCTCTTCTCTCTATTCTCTCTCTGCTCTCTCCTCTCTCTCTCACTCTCCCTCTCTCTCTCTCTCGCTCTCTCTCTTCTCTTCTCTTCTCTTCTCTCTCTCTCTCTCTCTCTCTCTCTCTCTCTCTCTCTCTCTCTCTCTCTCTCTCTCTCTCTCTCTCTCTCTCTCTCTCTCTCTCTCTCTCTCTCTCTCTCTCTCTCTCTCGCTCTCACTCTCTCTCTCTCTCTCTCTCTCCTCTCTCTCTCTCTCTCTCTCTCTCTCTCTCTCTCTCTATCTCTATCTATCTCTCTCTCTTTATCTCTCTCTCTCTCTTCTCTCTTCTCTCTCTTCTCTCTCTCTCTCTCTCGCTCTCTCTCTCTCTTTCTCTCGCCTGTCTCCTCTCTCAACTCCCCCTCTCTAACTCTCTCTCTCTCGCTCTCTCTCTCTCTCTCTCTCTCCTCTCCCTCTCTCTCGCTTCCTCTCTCTCTCTCTCTTGCTCTCTCTCTCTCTCTCTCTCGTCACGGGCTCGTGAGATCAGCCAGGGTGGCTCCCCCTTGGGGCTCCCAAATGATGCCCCTGGCAGCGTTTTGTGACCATGAGGCTCTCAAGAGATACATGTTGGGAAGGCCAAACGGCAATTCTAGCTGAGGCGTCCCACCAAAATCGGCGCGAACGGGCTCGTGAGATCAGCCAGGGTGGCTCCCCCTTGGGGCTCCCAAATGATGCCCCTGGCAGCGTTTTGTGACCATGAGGCTCTCAAGAGATACATGTTGGGGGCGCCAAACGGCAATTCTAGCTGAGACGTCCCACCAAAATCGGCGCGAACGGGCTCGTGAGATCAGCCAGGGTGGCTCCCCCTTGGGGCTCCCAAATGATGCCCCTGGCAGCGTTTTGTGACCATGAGGCTCTCAAGAGATACATGTTGGGGGCGCCAAACGGCAATTCTAGCTGAGACGTCCCACCAAAATCGGCGCGAACGGGCTCGTGAGATCAGCCAGGGTGGCTCCCCCTTGGGGCTCCCAAATGATGCCCCTGGCAGCGTTTTGTGACCATGAGGCTCTCAAGAGATACATGTTGGGGGCGCCAAACGGCAATTCTAGCTGAGACGTCCCACCAAAATCGGCGCGAACGGGCTCGTGAGATCAGCCAGGGTGGCTCCCCCTTGGGGCTCCCAAATGATGCCCCTGGCAGCGTTTTGTGATCATGAGAGAGTGTGAGTGTGAGCTTAACTTATCTTATATTATCTTGAAATCTCTTCTTATCATATCTTGTGCTATCTTATCTTATCTTGTAGTATCTTATCTTGTCTTGTCTTATCTGGTGATTATCATTGGGAGGAGGGAGGCGCGAGCGGGAGGAAGAAGGAGGAGGAGGAGTGGGAGGCGTCAGAGTAATAACAAGAACCCCAATCCTTAGGATATGGGGAAAAAACGACTCAGGATGAAAAACCGGTCCCGTGGAATGGGTCGAGATCTCTGGGGGTCGACGTCATGAAAAAATCATGACGTCGGGGGTCTGGGAGGGGGGCTCGCTGCAGCGCGAGCCGCCGAGCGCCGGTGAGCCGGGCCCTCGGGCGCCTCTCCGGCCCGAGGCGTGCCGGGAGCCGGATCGAGGCCGCCGCGCGGCCCAGCAGGCGCTGCGCCGCGCGCCCATGGGAGCGCGAGGCGGCGCCGAGCCCGGTCCGCGAGGAGGGCTGCCGTCGCCCTGGCGACGGAGCCGCGGCGTCTGCGGCAGCGAAGGCGCCGGAGGCGAGGAGGCGCCGCCAGGGCGGCCCCCGCAGCGGGCCGCCCGCCCAGCCTGGGCGGGCGCCGTCGCCGGGGGAAGCTGCGCCGTGAAGCGCGCGCGGGCACGCGGCCCGCCGGCCCCGCCGCCAGGGTCGCCCTCGGCAGCGCTGGGAGCCGCTCTGCTGTCGCGCGGCTGGTCGTAATTGGTATAGGGGAACAAAGAGTGGCATAAACATACAAACTCGGAGGTCCGTGCGGATTTCTCGATTCGGCGCTGGGACCTCCTGGCGGCACCTCCAGCGCCGCCCCTGGCGCGCTCCGCGCGCCAGGGAGGGGGGTCCAGCGCCGATCCGAGAAATCCGCGCGGACCTCCGAGTTTTTATGTTTGTGCCATTTTTTGTTCCCCTATAGTACCCGGCCAGGGGCCGCTAGGGAGCATAACGAGAACGGAACGGGGCCGTGTTTGCTTTCCAGGCTAGGGGCAGGACCAGATGCAGCCAATGAGGTCCTCGCAGTCCTTATACCCGCTGAGTCAACGCATTCGCATTTGGAATAAGTTCCCTCCTCTTCGAGTATTTCACGTGCAGCCTCCACAAGGCAGGAGACACGTCAATAGGCAATGCAGCAAGGGCTGCGGCACCCCTCCTGGTGGGCATGCGTCCTACCCCAGCGGGCTGTTGCAACTCAGATATGGTTGGGATCGCGGGCGTGAGGCACGATCAGATGCTGCCAGCGAGCTCCACGCATTTCGCGTACCCCGCCGAGTCAACGCTAACTTTGCCGAAAGCCGTCGCCTCTTTCTCGGCTACGCCGCCTTCCGTTACGGGCGGCCTCCTTGCTGCAGGGGACACGACCATAGGCTCTCCCGAAGAGTCGGCGAGGTGTTTCCTCCCCCTCGAGTTCGCTGGGATGCCGTCTTCCAGCTGTGCCTCCCCGAGAGCAGCCCTGGTGTGTCTGGCTCGCCCTTTCCGTGTCTTCCGGGGGTGTTTGTCCCGGGGGGTGGGCAGGGGGCCCCGGGAGCGCCGGGTGTTTGGGCGGCTGGACGCTGAGGCCAGGGCCGAAACGCACTGGGCGTTGTGGCCTTCGGACATGTTGTTTGCCACGTTGCCCACACACCGCAGTTCCCCCGCAACGTCAGTCAGGACCTCCCGCTCGAGACGTCCGTTGGGTCAGGAGACGCAGGGCCGAAACTCACTGGGCGTTGTGGCCTTCGGACGTGTTGTTTGCCACGTTGCCCACACACCACATCTCACCACAATTCTCCCGCAACGTGCAGTCAGGACTTCCCACTCGAGACGTCCGTTGGGTCAGGAGACGCATGGCCGAAACGCATTTACGCAGGACGCAAGATTTGCCTCCTGAGGTGAAAATGGCCATGAGGAGTTCGCGAGACAACGTCGGCACCGCCGAACGGACGGCGACCACACGAGCTGTTTGCAGCAACCGGGGGGAGAGGGATGCATGCATTCATGGTGACTGGGGCCGGCTCGCGCGGGGAGTTGATGGGAGTGCGCGAGACGACGCAGGGCCCATCGTGGAAAGTTGGTTACCGACCCCCCCCCTCCCCCGTAGAATCTTAACACGGGCGGTTTGCGGGGTCTGCGGATCCGATTTCTTCCGGTCCCCTGTTAATGTAATCGTACAATTTTAAAACACGGTAGAAATCGGATCCGCCGTAAAAGCATGATGGACCCACGAACCCGGAAAGGGATATAGACATGTGCAGCATGGTCACGTTTTCACGATACCCAACTGGGCGACACCCCACGAAACATCCCACGAGACACCCCGCGAAACATCCCACGAGACACCTCACGAAACATTCCACGAGACACCTCACGAAACATTCCACGAGACACCCCGTGAAACATTCCACGAGACACCCGTGAACAGGCAACCACTCAACCAGACACACCACGAAACATTCCACGGGGGTGCGACTGGGTGTGGTCGTGCTGGGGTGTGGTCGTGCTGGGGTGTGGTCGTGCTGGGGAGTGGTCGTGCTGGGGAGTAGTCGTGCTGGGGGGTGGTCGTGTTGGGGGGTGGTCGTGCTGGGGGTGTGGTCGTGCTGGGGGGTGGTCGTGCTGGGGCGTGGTCGTGTTGGGGCGTGGTCGTGCTGGGGCGTGGTCGTGCTGGGGTGTGGTCGTGCTGTGGTGAGGTCGTGCTGGGGTGTGGTCGTGTTGGGGTGTGGTCTTGCTGGGGTGGGGTCGTGCTGGGGTGGCGTCGTGCTGGGGTGTGGTCGTGCTGGGGTGTGGTCGAGCTGGGGTGGGGTCGTGCTGGGGTGGGGTCGTGCTGGGGTGTGGTCGTGCTGGGGTGTGGTCGTGCTGGGGCGTGGTCGTGCAAAACCAGCGTTTCGCTCGAGACATCCTCGACAAATTCTGAAAACAAGCGTTTCGCTCGAGACATCCCCAACTCTGCAAAACCAGCGTTTCGCTCGAGACATCCTCAACAAATTCTGAAAACAAGCGTTTCGCTCCAGACATCCTCAAATCTTAATCCGCCGGCGCCCCTCAGTTGAGGCACCGGGGACAGGTTTACCTACTGAAAGAGAACCCTGGGCCTGCGTCCTTTCCGAGAAAAACTGAATCCGGTTTTGGCATATGCCGCTTCCGTTCTGTGCGTGTATATATATATATATATGGGGGGGGCTCAAGCCACTGTAGCTCAAGACATTGTGGCAAGTCTTCGGGCATTTGGAACACTTGGTTTGTGCCTATTGCCGCCAAACCCTTGTTACTCCGCCGTTGCCGCAATGAACGTCGTGGTGCTTGCAGGAGCGTTCGCCATCCTGCTCGTCGGCCACGGCTGCGTCGCCGCCGACGACCTAGCCAAGACTTTGGAGGAGCGCCGCCTGATGGAGGACGACTCGCACAACTGCGACGCCGCGAGCGAGGCCGACGGCGTGGGGCTGCTCCAGTCACGGACGTCGGGCCCCAGCCAACCGCAAATCGCGAACATTCGGAAGGGCGAGACGCAGGACCACAAACAATATGAGGAGGCGGGAGTGGAGGATGTACCGATCGATTTCCAGAACCTCAATTCTACAATTCATCGCAAGATTTGCGATTTCGAGTGCACTCAGCCAAACACCTTTTGCTGCATAAGGGGGTGGGATTTGTCGTATCAAACTTGCTGCGTTGAGGACCGCCATCTCAATCCATGGGTTATTCCAGGATATCCTTGCGCACCCCGGATCCCCAACCAATGCACAAGGGGGTACTGCTGTGCTGGCGGCAAGTGTGAGCCGTGCTAGCTCTCTGCCCCGATCGTTTCAACGTCCTGCCCGTTCGCGCGATAACCTGCGCGCTTGCGTTTTGTTCCCCCCCCTCACCTCCTTGCGCGATGACACGTTGGGCAGTTCCTTCCTGCCTGCCCTCCTCCCTCTCCTTCCGCTTGAAGACCCGGTCAGCTCCCCGCCAGGCGTTTTTCCGCAATCGGGGAAGCATGCGAGACCTTCTGAGAGTTATCGGTTAAACTCTCACCAGTTTTGAAGACCTGGTCAGCTCCCCGCCAGGCGTTTTTCCGCAATCGGGGAAGCATGCGAGACCTTTGAGACTGGAGTGGACTGGAAAAGGCCGCGCGTAGACGGCGCATCGGCTTCCGCTCTGCGCGTAGCCCGCACCATCCATTCTACACATGGTTACAATTCCGTTTCGCTGGGCTGCTGGTTTGGCGAGCAGGTTTCAGAATCAACCATCGTCTCTCGGTTTGCATCTCTGCGGTCGTAATCACAGGAAGGGAAACCAAAACGGGGAAGGGGAAAGAAAGCTAAACCCTCACGCACGCACACACACTCGTTGGCGTTGTGACCATGCGCGCGGCGACGCGGCGCAGACGGTCGCGTGGAAGCGAGAGCACGGCCGGGCCGGTTCACGAGGCGGGGGGACCAGGGATCCAGCGCCTCTTCGCCGAAGTCTGGCACCGAGAGTGCGACCTCTCCTCGCGCGCTGCCCTGCACGCGGCCGCGAGCGGGCCGCGATCCGTCTGCGGGGGCGACGTCCGTCGCCCGATGCGATCCGATGGAGCTCAGAGGCGGGGCCTCGGGCCGACCAACAAGTTATCCTGGCGAGGGACCCAACCATGCGCAAGTGTGAGAACCGCAGGGCAAGTGGGAGGAAGCGAGGGGAATGCCCAATGGGGCCACGAGCCGTGTGAGGGGTCCGCCAAGATGGCGGGCGCGGGGCCGCCATGCGGACCCTGCCACTGGGGCCTTCGGTGGAGCTCCCTGTGGGGCCACGAACCGTGTGAGGGGTGCGCCACAATGAGGCGGGGCCGCCATGCCAACCCTGCCACTGGGGCCTTCGGTGGAGCTTCCTTCGGGGCCACGAACCGTGTGAGGGGTGCGCCACAATGAGGCAGGGCCGCCATGCGAACCCTGCCACTGGGCATTCGGTGGAGCTTCCTTCGGGGCCACGAACCGTGTGAGGGATGCGCCACAATGGAGTTTGGTCGTCATGCGAACCCTGCCACCAGGGCCTTCGGTCGAGCTCCCTGTGGGGCCACGAACCGTGTGAGGGGTGCGCCAAAATGGGGCGGGGCCGCCACGCGAACCTTGCCACTGGGCATTCGGTGGAGCTACCTATGGGGCCACGAACCGTGTGAGGGGTGCGCCAAAATGGAGCGGGGCCGCCATGCGAACCCTGCCACTGGGGCCTTCGGTGGAGCTCCCTGTGGGGCCACGAACCGTGTGAGGGGTGCGCCACAATGAGGCGGGGCCGCCATGCCAACCCTGCCACTGGGGCCTTCGGTGGAGCTTCCTTCGGGGCCACGAACCGTGTGAGGGGTGCGCCACAATGAGGCAGGGCCGCCATGCGAACCCTGCCACTGGGCATTCGGTGGAGCTTCCTTCGGGGCCACGAACCGTGTGAGGGATGCGCCACAATGGAGTTTGGTCGTCATGCGAACCCTGCCACCAGGGCCTTCGGTCGAGTTCCCTGTGGGGCCACGAACCGTGTGAGGGGTGCGCCAAAATGGGGCGGGGCCGCCACGCGAACCTTGCCACTGGGCATTCGGTGGAGCTACCTATGGGGCCACGAACCGTGTGAGGGGTGCGCCAAAATGGAGCGGGGCCGCCATGCGAACCCTGCCACTGGGGCCTTCGGTGGAGCTCCCTGTGGGGCCACGAACCGTGTGAGGGGTGCGCCACAATGAGGCGGGGCCGCCATGCGAACCCTGCCACTGGGGCCTTCGGTGGAGCTTCCTTTGGGGCCACGAACCGTATGAGGGGTGCGGGGCGCCCAAATGGCGCGGGGCCGCCATGCGAACCCTGCCACCAGGGCCTTCGGTGGAGCTCCCTATGGGGCCACGAACCGTGTGAGGGGTGCGCCAAAACGCGGGGCCGCCATGCGAACCCTGCCACTGGGCCTTCGGTGGAGCTCCCTATGGGGCCACGAAATGTTGTACTGGGTGGGCGAAACGCAGGGAGGAAGGAGGAGGGGGAGGAGGGAGGAGGGGGAGGCAGGAAGGGAGGAGGAGAGGAGAGGAACGCGGGGCACCGTCTCTTCAAAACGAGGACCCAACACCACAGGATGGTTGGGAAAAAAGAAGACGGCCCACGAGGGCCCCAAGAGGGGTTCAGGAGGGCGAACTCTCGAGGGAGGCCACACCACCCGGACCGGACAACTGGCGTTTACGGAACGGCCCTGGGGTTTACCACCCGGCCTTGCCCTCTTTGATTCCTTCTTTGGGTGCGTCTACAGCGGGGGCGCGCATCAAGAAACCATCTGCGTGTCGGGGCGGTTATTACGTGGACATTCCTTCTGCCTCCTGCCTCCTGCCTCCTCCTCCTCCTCCTGCCTCCTCCTCCTCCTCCTCCTCCTCCTCCTCCTCCTCGTCCTCCTCCTTACGCTGCGTTATCATTGGGGTGGACGTTCTGCTCTCGAAATTCCGACTGACATCTCGAGCCTTCCGCTCCCAGTGGGCCCCTTGGCCGCCGCCGCCGGACTCCCAAGAAGGCCCCCAAGGGCCCTCAACAGAGGCCCCCAGGAGGCCCCCCAAACGGCCCCCAAGCGACTCCAAGGGTTAAGTCGGGCCTGTCCCTCTACAGGAGAAAGTTTCAAGTATAGTCAACAAAAATCATAGTATGGGGACGACTTTGTTGAGTATGTTTTTTATTATTTGGGGGTATTTTTTGTATTTTTCATTATTCGCCCAGAATCAACCTGTAAGGGGACAGGTCCGACCTAACCCAAGTGGCCCCAAGGGGTTTTGTACGTCGATCCACGAGGCGCCCGAGAAGCGCATGCCAACAGGCCCCGAGCCGCAGGTGTCCAGGATTCCTCTGGCCCAGAGCTCGGGCGCGGCAGCGGTGCGGGCCGAAGGCCATAGACAAGTACAGTCGGGGCGCTGAGGAAGGAACCCTTTTCGTTGGGGAGGGGCTCGGTGTTCCTTAGTTGTTTTGCAGTTCGCCCTTGGTTTTGCTCAGGGTTCCGATGGGAACTCGAAGGTTAACTTATGGGAAAAAGGGACCTCGTTCCTTATTTAGGGTTCCTTAGGTCAAAGCCCCGACTGTAGACAAGTACGCGATCGGCTTGGCGACGGACCCATCCAGCCATGTGCAGCGCAGGGCGCGGGTCTCCCTTCATACACTGTGCGCCGCGGGGAGGAGCGGGAAACGGACCGCTGCAGAGCACGCGCGCACGGGCGAGCCGAAGTCCTCCCCATGGGGCACGATCCGCGTGAAGGGTGTGCCGAATGATTCGGATGCCCTCGCGCGAAGACGCCCACTGAGGCCGCAGGTGGACATCTGGACACGACCCGTGCGAGGCATGTTCCGGGGCGCCATGCGAAGCTGCCCATTGGTGCCATTGACGGAGCTCCTTCTGGGGCTTGATTCGCGTGACGGGTGTGCCAACATGGGCGGGGGGGGCGTTGTACGAACATTGTCTCTGGGCTTTTCGGTAGTGTTCTTGGTGTGCACGATCAGCGTGATGGGGTGTGCCGCAGTCGGCGGGGGGGCGCAGTGCGAGCCCTGCCTCTGGGGCCATGGGTGGAGATCCCTGTGGGCCACGATCGGTGCGCGTGTGGTGTGCCGAAGTGGGCGGGGGAGGCGGCATGCGAGTCTTGCTTCTGGGACCGTCCGCGGACCTCTCTGCGGGCCACGATCCGTGTGAGAGGAGTGCCGAAGTAAGCCGGGCGACGCTACAAAGCTTCCCTCTGGTGCCTCAAATGCAGTTACTTGCTGGGCGCGATCCGCGTGAAGGAGGAGGAGGAGGAGGAGGAGGAAGAGGAGGAAGAGGAGGAAGAGGAGGAAGAGAGGAGGAGGAGAGGAGGGAAGGAGGGGAGGAGGAGGAGGAGGAGGAGGAGGAGGAGGAGGGGGAGGAAAGAGGAGGAGGAGGAGGAGGAGGGAGGAGGGGAGGAGGAGGAGGAGGAGGAGGAGGAGGAGGAGGAGGAGGAGGAGGAGGAGGAGGCGGAGGGGGGGCCGTGCCGCTGTGCGAGCCCTGTCTCTGGGGGCGCAGGCCAAGAGCCCCGTGGGGCGCGAGCCCCGCGAGGGCCGCGTCGGCACGGGCAGGGTGGACGCAAGCACGTGCCTGGGGCTGTCGGTGGGGCTCCCCGAGGGGGGCACGGCCCGTGTTACACTACTATCAACAACCTGATAAGGACGCGCGGCTTTGCTCAGGGTGCCCTTGCGTCCTTGCTCTTCCTTGCTCCTGCGTCCTTGAGGTTTTCGTCGTCCGCCGCCCCAGAAATCCCAACTTCGGCTTCCAAGGGTCTTGCGTCCTTACCGCGCGTCCTTATTAGGGTCTTTGACTGTATACCCGCCAGCCGTTGAAAGTAGGTATTTCTGGATTCCCAGATCCCAATATACTTCAAGCGCCTTCCTGCTTCAAGAATCGGCACGTTCTTGCTGTGTTCTGTCATTCCTCTGGGAGGACCTGGACCCAATTCACTATATCCGCCTGACTACTTCATGTTTTTACCTACTTCTTCCGACCGACGTGTGTATGTCTTCCGACGCCAAACACTTCACGTACAATCAGGATTTGCTACAAACGTCAAGCGCGCGAAGCGCACGCGCGTGGTTCTAGTACAAATTATGTGTATATTTATATATGTATAAAAATGTGTATATGTATTTATGTATGTGTATATATATATATATATATATATGTACATAGCCAGGTTTCCAGGTCCCCAGGGGGGCCCGGCCTCATTTCTCCGTGGCGGGATTGGGGCTCCAGGACCCCCCGTTCCCGGTCCGAAACGGCCTAGATGGCCTCCAAGACGGCCAAGATGGCCCATGATGGCTTCAGAGATACTTCCAAGATCGCTATGATGGCCTCAAGAGAGCCCAAGATGGCCGCAAGATGCACCCTACACGGCCCCATATAGGGTCAAGATACTTCCAGAGCGCCTCCGAGGCGGCCAAGACGCCTCCAAGACATGCTTTTGGAAAGCCCGAAGAAGCTAAAATATTAATTTCCCGTCAGTTTTTGAAGGACTTTTGCATTTGTTTGTGTTCCGCCTGCCGACGGTCCAGATGGCCCAAGAGGCTCCCAAGATCGCCCCCAGAGCACCCAAGAGGCCTCCACGATAGCCCCGTGACGGCCCAAGAAGCCCCAAAGACGGCTCCAGGAGGGCCTCAAGACGGCCCAAGAGGACTCAACACGCCTGATATTGCCTCCAAGACAGCCCCGAAGCGCCCCAAGAGGGCTCGAAGACTGCGAAGACAGGCCTCGAAGACGACCTCCGGCAGCGTCCGACGGGCCATGAGCGCTCTCCAGGACAGCCAAAGAGGCCCCCAAGAAGCCCCCAAGAGTTATATCGGGCTTGTGGGATTTTTCGACGAAACAAAAATTAGAAATACCCCAAACATATCCCAAAAAAGATAAAACAACAATTCAAAAAATAGTCCCCAGACTATTTTTGGACTATTTTTTGACCATGTTTGGGGTATTTTTAGTTTTTCGTTGAAAATCCCCCTGTAGGGGGACAGGCCCGACTCTACCCAAGAGCCCCCAAGAAGCCCCAGGAGATCCCGGGAGGCCTCCAAAAGACGCGCCCCCAGGACGAAGATCGGGACAAAATCGGATCGGGATAACTCGAAATCTCTGAGAATCGGCGGGTTTGGAGGATGTATTGGGCGCCGCGGCCGCTCCAGAGCGTTCCGGAACGCTCTGAGAGCGCTCCGGAACGCTCTGGAGCGATTTATCCCGATCCTAGCTCTGTTTTAAATGCAAACGGGGGTCAGCCAGAGCGCCCGGTCTTAGTTACAGGATCCTGCAGGGCCACGGTCGCATTGACCCGGGCTTGGGTGCCGGATCCTGCAGGATCTTGCAGGATCTTTCGCACTGACCCGGGTTTGGGTGCAGGATCTTGCAGAATCTTGCAGGATTCTGCAAGGCCTGACTGACCCGGGTCTGGATTGACCCGGGTCAGAGGATCCCCGAACGGTGCCACCCCGCCCCTGGGCGCGGTCCGGGCGGCCCCGCGAGACCCCGAGACGGCTCAAGATTTAAGTCGGGCCTGTCCCCCCTACAGGGGGATCTTCGACGAAAAATGAGAAATACCCCAAAAATAGTCCAAAAATAGTCGGGGGTCTATTTTTTGAGTATTTTACCTTTTTGGGGGCATTTCTGGGGCATTTTTTAACATTTTTCGTCGAAGATCCCCCTGCAGGGGGACAGGCCCGACATAACTCAAGATCGCTCCAGGAGCGTCCAAGGTAGCCTCCGGGCACCCATGAGGCTCCCAAGAGGTTCCCAGCCTGCCCCAAGAGCGCTCCAAGACGGCTGCACGCGGCATCCCGACGGCCCACGAGGCGCCCCGGGAGCCACAAGAGAGCCCCAGGAGGCTCCTCAAGACGGCCTCGCGGGGCCACAGAATCATCCAATTCTTGTTCGGACAAAGTGCATGTTCATTACACTCACTTTTTTCAGTCCTCACCGCGCTGAAGACAGCCCAAAAGGTACCCTCAAAGTCGCCCGTATAGCCATTCTGGCTCGAGCCCTACGCGGGCCAAGGGGAGCGGACAGACTCGTGGAGTGTTCGTCGCCCCCAGCAGCAGCGGCATGGCTGAAGACGTGGCCGCAGAGGGGCCTGCTGCGGAGCCGTCTGCCTCCACCGAGGAGCCACCGCGTCAAGGCAAGAAGGCCCCGGCCTCCGCTTCCACGGCGTCCACTCTGTCGCACAGCGCCACGCTGTCCTTCTTCAAGACGGCGCGGGCGGACGCGGACAGCGCGACGGCGTCCACGCAGGAGCCGGGCAGCGAGCCGGGGCTCTCGTCGCTGTCGTCGACGACGTCGAAGAGGCGACGCGCGCCCGGCGCCCGCTGGGACGGGCGGGCGGCGTCGGCTTCGCCGCAGGAGTGGCGCGAGTCGAAGTGGAGCCTGGAGGCGGCCTACCAGAGGACCATTCGGGCCGGACGAGAGGGGGGATTGGGAAAGGGGGGGGGGTACGAAATCTGCTGCATGCCGCCGGTTTCGGCCCCACCGAGGGGCCCGTTCCTTGAGACATCGTCGCCTCCGGCGCCGGGAAAATCAGCCACGTGAGCTGATTCTCAAAACCCGCTTTGCTATCCCCCCCTTTCGCCCGACCCGAACCATGCGCCGCTCCCCGTCGTACACCTGCAGGGCGCAGTTCAAGGGCCCCAAGCCGGTGTCTGCCGCCGCCAGCGTGCCCCAGATCGCCCTGGACGTCGAGAAGGCCTTCAACTACATCCAGAAGAAGCAGCCGGTGGCCAGCTTCACGTTCGCGCTGCACTCCATAGGGCAGCGCGAGCAGGACCTGGCCCCAGGGCCCATCTACGCGATACCGTCGCCCATTGACTCCGTGCCGCACCCCACGCTGAAAAACGTGGTGAATACCAAGTTCGGAACGGGGACCCTCCCGCAGATCGACAAGGTGTGCCCGGGCCCCGGCACGTACGATTCCATGCGGGCGTCTAGGCAGGACAGCAGGTACGCGACCCAGCCGCGCTTCTCGATCAGCGGCCGCGAGGCCATGAGGGAGCTGGACATGCCTCCCTCGGACGTCGCCATCAAGGGCAAGAACGGCCGTCCCGGGAGGATGCGAGTGTCCGGGCCGGCGCCGGGGGACTACCCGATCGATGGGGCCCGTGGGTCCACCGGCACCTTCAAGTCGGTGAAGTGGACGATGCCCCACGCGGGCGGCCGCACCGAGACCAAGGGGAAGGAGACCGACGGCTTCGGCCCGGGCGCCTACGAGGTGACGAACCTGACGAACAGGGGGAAGCTGTCGTCGCCGAAGTGGAGCATGCAGGTCGGAGGGCACCAACTATACACCAACACCGATCCTGGCCCAGGATCACCCTGGGCCCATGATCGGTGTATCTATGCCTTCTTGCCCAAGGCAGGAGGGCGTATACACCGATCCTGGGCCCAGGGTGATCCTGGCCGGGATCGGTGTTGGTGTACAGTTGGTGCCTTCCTGTGCAGGGGCACAACCCGTGGGCCGAGTGACGGGCCGCAGTGCACACAGGCTTCCTGCGGGCTCCAGAGGAGCACTCCCCGGCTGCCCTTGCACCGCGCGCGGACGCGCCTCCGTGCAGGTCGGGCCCGTCCCTCCACAGGAGGCATGCTCAGAAACAGTCAACAAAATAGTCTGGGGATTACGCCAGATTTCGAAATAAAAGCGAGGGGGTCTGGACCCTCCAAGACAAGCCATTTCAGACCTCCCCCGTGGGAGAACCCTCCAAAACATCGTCCCCAGACCCCCCCAGGCCCTCCAAGATAGCCTGGAAGAGACCCCCCCCCGAAATGAGACCCCCCTCCCTTTATTACGAAATCTGGAGTATCTTTTGAGCCTTTGCTGGCCATTTGGGAGTACAGGGGGGGCGCGTACCAAGAAACCAGTTGGCTTTTGCCAGGGTGCCCTGGGTTTCTTGGATTTCGGTGGGCCCCCAATAAGATCTTGACAGTTTTCGATCGACAAATCTGGGTTTTCACTGATCAAGTCGCGGATTTCAGGGTTGTGTTTCTTGCGGAGGCTTCTTGTGGCCGAGCTCCCATTGTATTCTTGGAGTACTTTTTATTATTCCTCGCCGAAGGTCCCCCTGCAGGGGGGCACGCCCGACTTACGCCTCCGTGGAGGCGCCGAGGCGCCGCGCGCGCGCACCGAGCGCCCCCGCTCCCCTCCTCCTCCTCCTCCTCCTCCTCCTCCTCCCCCTCCTCCTCCTCCTCCTCCTCCTCCTCTCCTCCTCCTCCTCCTCCTCCTCCCCTTCTCCTCCCTCCTCCCCTCCTCCTCCTCCTCCTCCTCCTCCTCCTCTCCTCCTCCTCCTCCTCCTCCTCCTCCCCTCCTCCTCCTCCTCCTCCTCCCCTCCTCCTCCTCCTCCTCCCGGAGGCGCGGCCGCCGGTCCGGGGCGGCGAGGCCTCTCGGGGTGAAGTCGGGCCTTGTCCCCTGCAGGGGGATTCTCGACGTTTTTTGTTTGTTTGTTTTTTTTTGTATTTCTATATATATATATATATATATATATATATATATATATATAGATTCCCTTTTCTATATTTTTACAATCCGGGGGGGTGGGACCCCCCCCCCCCCGAAAATCGGACCCCCGGGATCTGGCGCTTTTGGGGCCCCCTGGACGCCTTGCAAGGGGTCCCCCGGGCCTTCCGGGCCTCCTGGACGCCCCTGCCGGGCCTTGCCAGCGGGCCCAAAGCGGTCAGGAGGGCGGCCAAACGGCCCCGCGAGAGCCCCACGCGGCCCCAGACAGCCCCAAGACGCCCGAAGACGACCCAAAGAAGACCCCCAAGAGGTCCTCCAAGTGCAAAAAAACAACACTTTCCTTTCCTTTCCTTTTTTTTTTTTTTTAAAAAAAGAAGGAATTTTTGGACATTCGGTTCTTCGGTATTCCGTGCGTCCGAGTCCGCCGAAGAGGCCCCAAAAATCCTCCCACAACGGTGTCAAAGGGCTTCCAGACAGTCCAAAAGAGCCCCAATATGGTCCAACAGGGCCGCAAGATGGCCCCAAGAGAGCCCCGCTGACAGCCCCAGATGGCCCCAAGACGCCTCCCGAAGCACTCCAAATCGTGACCCGGTCGTTCAGGGAGACCGTGGTTGGTAGCAAGGTGGCCGCAAGAAGCCCCCAGAGGCCCCCAAAAGGCGCCCAGGAGGCCCCCAGAGGTCCCCGAAAAGCTTTTGAGAGGGGCTCAGGAACACCTCCAAAGAGGAGCCCCTGCAATAAAAACTGGGGATGAGGACAAAGAGTGGCTCGCAGACAAGGAAGATTACGAGTAAGAGGAGAGGAAGTAGAAGGATAGTACATAACATTACTATAACGACGATGGCGCAAACGGCAACAATGAATCATCGCTATATTTGGCTCTCCTGCATGCCGAGCTTCAATAACCAAGGTGCATGGCGCGAAGCGCCAATGCAGTCTTGTATATATATATACACACACACCCCTCCCCGAAAATCGGACCCCCGGGATCTGGCGCTTTTGGGGCCCCCTGGACGCCTTGCAAGGGGTCCCCCGGGCCTTCCGGGCCTCCTGGACGCCCCTGCCGGGCCTTGCCAGCGGGCCCAAAGCGGTCAGGAGGGCGGCCAAACGGCCCCGCGAGAGCCCCACGCGGCCCCAGACAGCCCCAAGACGCCCGAAGACGACCCAAAGAAGACCCCCAAGAGGTCCTCCAAGTGCAAAAAAACAACACTTTCCTTTCCTTTCCTTTTTTTGTTTTAAAAAAGAATGAATTTTTGGACATTCGGTTCCTCGGTATTCCGTGCGTCCGAGTCCGCCGAAGAGGCCCCCAAAATCCTCCCACAACGGTGTCAAAGGGCTTCCAGACAGTCCAAAAGAGCCCCAATATGGTCCAACAGGGCCGCAAGATGGCCCCAAGAGAGCCCCGCTGACAGCCCCAGATGGCCCCAAGACGCCTCCCGAAGCACTCCAAATCGTGACCCGGTCGTTCAGGGAGACCGTGGTTGGTAGCAAGGTGGCCGCAAGAAGCCCCCAGAGGCCCCCAAAAGGCGCCCAGGAGGCCCCCAGAGGTCCCCAAAAAGCTTTTGAGAGGGGCTCAGGAACACCTCCAAAGAGGAGCCCCTGCAATAAAAACTGGGGATGAGGACAAGGAGTGGCTCGCAGACAAGGAAGATTACGAGTAAGAGGAGAGGAAGTAGAAGGATAGTACATAACATTACTATAACGACGATGGCGCAAACGGCAACAATGAATCATCGCTATATTTGGCTCTCCTGCATGCCGAGCTTCAATAACCAAGGTGCATGGCGCGAAGCGCCAATGCAGTCTTGTATATATATATATATATATATATATATATATATAGATTGGGGGGGGGGGCTCTTGGGTGAAGTCGGGCCTGTGCCCCTGCAGGGGGATTTTTGACGAAAGAAAAAAGGTGCCCCAAAGATAGTCAAACAATGAACCCAACATAGTCTGGGGACTATGTTTGGAGTATTTTTGGGCTTCCTGGGAATATTTGGGGTGTGTGTTTTTATACAGGGCCTGTCCCCCTGCAGGGGGATTTTCGACGAAAGATAAAAAAATACCCGAAACATGCCCCCCAAAATACTCCAAAAATGGTCTGGGGACTATTTTTGAATATTTTTGCCTTTTTGGGGTACGTTTGGGGGATTTTCGACGAAAGATAAAAAATGCCCGAAAAATGCCCCCCAAAAGAATCCAAAAATAGTCCAGGGACTATTGTTTGAGCATGTTTTGGCTTCTTCGGGGCATGTTTGGGGTATTTTTTTTCTATTCTTCGCCGAAGCTCCCCGTGCAGGGGGACACGCACGGCATACCTCTTGGGGCTCCTTTTTGGGGTACGTTTGGGGTATGTTTGGGGTATGTTTGGGGTATTCTCTATTTTCGTCGAACATCCCCCTGTACGGTAGGTTTGCGTCGTGTCGACCGGCGGCGACCCCAGCGCGGGCGTTCAAGGTTGAACGCCGCCGGCGGCCCAGAATCGATCGACGTTGAACGATTGGACGTTGCGGCAGCGGCCGATCGTTCAAGGTTGAACGATCCCTGCGGTGTCAAAAACCAACGCTGGGGTCGGCACGACACGAACCTGCCGTAGGGGGACACGCCCGACATACCTCTTGGGGCTCCGAGGTCGCCGCACGGCCTGTCACCGCACCCCCTCGGGACTCCCACAGCGAGCCGCGCGCGCCGAGCGCCCCGCCCCTTCCCCAAAACGACGCGAGGATCGGGACAAAAACGGATCGGGATCACTCGAAAAATCTCGGAGGATCGGCGGGTCTGGAGGATGTTTTTTGGGCGCCGCGGCCGCTCCTCAGAGCGTCCCGGCACGCTCGGAGAGCGCTCCGGGACGCTCTGGAGCGATTTATCCCGATCCTAGAGCCTGTTTTTCTTTTAGATTCGGGCGAATTTACTTGCATGGACGGGGGGGGGGGGGAGCTGAGTCTGAGGCAAGCCGAAAGCAATTCGACGTGCGGAAATCACGCAAGTCGGAACGCACTTGCACGCTCGTGTTCGATGGAAGAGGGGCGAGGGGGGGGGGGGGGGGGGGGCGAATTCGCCGTGCAGGTAAGCTTGCCTGGATGTAAAGAAAAGCAGGCTCTTATCCCGATCCTGGCCCTGTTTTATTCCCGGGGGCGGGGGGTCCGAAATTTGCTGCATGCAGCCGGTTTCGGCCTCACCGAGGGGCCCATTCCTCGATGCATAGCCGCCTCCGGCGCCGGGAGGCGCCGGGAAAACCAGCTACGTGGGCTGATTCTCAACCCCCCCCTTTGCTATCCCCCCCTTTCGCTCTATCCCGACCCTGGCCCTGTCTTATGCCCGGGGGCGGGGGCCCGCGCGGGAGAGGCGCCGCGGGGCGCCGCGCGGGCCGCGCGCGCCGAGGGGCGCGGCAGGCCCGGGCGCCCGAGCCTCCTGCGGGGAGCGCGCGCGGGCCCCATACCCAGACCCCCTCGGGCAATGAAAAAATCATGACGGGAGGTTTTTCCTAATTTTCGGCCTCCGGGGGCCCTCACCGGGCCTCGGGAGCGTCAAAAAACGACTCAGGATGCAAGACCGGTCCCGCGGAATGGGTCGGGACCTCGGGGGGTCGACGTCATGAAAAAATCATGACGTCGGGGGTCTGGGTAGCGGCCTTCGTGGCAGGTCGGGGGTCCCCGGGCGCGCTCCGCGGCTCTCAAGACGGGCCCGTCCCTCTACAGGGAGGGATACTCCAAGAATGGTCCAAGCCTAGTGGGGAGTATTTGGGGGGGCATCTTTTGGGGCATCTTTTGGGGTATGTTTGTTTTTTCGTCGAGAATCCCCCCGTAGGGGGACACGCCCGACTTAACTCTAGCAGTCGGGGGTCACCGAGCGCGCTCCACGGCTCTCAAGACGGGCCTGTCCCTCTACAGGAGGGATACTCCAGATTTCGTAATAAAGGGAGGGGGGTCTCATTTCGGGGGGGGGGTCTCTTCCAGGCTATCTTGGAGGGCCTGGGGGGGGTCTGGGGACGATGTTTTGGAGGGTTCTGCCACGGGGGGGGGTCTGAAATGGCTTGTCTTGGGGGTCTGAAATGGCATGTCGGGGGTCACCGAGCGCGCTCCACTGCTCTCAAGACGGGCCCGTCCCTCTGCTCGGGGGCGGAAAAGAGGGGGGTGATGACTAGGGGGGGGTGGATATCATGGCGCCGGCCATGATATTCGGAGGTGGACAGACCTCCTACCCTGACGCGTCGATTAAGGAATTGGCCGTTTTCGGTTCGCGAGAGGGCGTCGCGGCCGTCATTTTGCGGGTCCAGGTCCGTCGATTTCGGCCCTAGGTCGTTTTCACTAAGGGGAGGTTTACTAAAGGGAGGTTTGTCCAGCGCCGAGAGATCTCCGCAGATTTCATGGCGCCTCTTCTTGTTTCATTACGTCCCTGGCCCCCCCCGCTGGGCCGCGCACACGCCGCCGGTCATGATTTGCACCCCCCCCCCTCTTGGACACCCCCCTCTTGGCCGCCCCCGATCTACAGGAGGGATATGCAAAAATGGTACAAACATAGTGGGGATTATTTGTTGGGCATTTTTGGGCCATCTTTGGGGGCATTTGGGGGGTATTCTGCTTTTTCGTCGGAAATCACCCCGTAGGGGGACACGCCCGACTCAACTCTAGCAGTCGGGGGTCACCGAGCGCGTTCCACTGCTCTTAAGTCGCGCCTGTCCCTCTACAGGAGGAATATTCAAAAATAATCAAAACATAGTCGAAAATCCCCCTGTATGGGCGACACGCCCGACTTAACTCTAGCAGTCGGGGGTCACCGAGCGCGTTCCACTGCTTAAGTCGGGCCTGTCCCTCTACAGGAGGGATATGCAAAAATAGTCAAAACATAGTCCGGGGACATTTTTTTTTTGGTTGTATGTTTGGGCATTTCGGGGCTTGATTTTTTTATTGTTCGTTCAGTCGGGGGTCACCGAGCGCGTTCAACTGCCCTTAAGTCGGGCCTGTCCCTCTAGAGGAGGGATATTCAAAAATGGGTCAAAACATAGTCTGGGGACTTTTGTTGTTGTTGTTGTGTGTTTGGGCATTTCGGGGCTTTAATTTTTATTTTTCGTTCAGTCGGGGGTCACCGAGCGCGTTCCACTGCTCTTAAGTCGGGCCTGTCCCTCTACAGGGGGGATATTCAAAAATAGTCAAAACATAATGGGGACTATTGTTTGGGCATTTTTGGGCAATCTTTTGGGGCATTTTGGGGGTATTTTGTTTTTTCGTCGAAAATCCCCTTGTAGGGGGACACGCCCGACGTAACTCTAGCAGTCGGGGGTCACCGAGCGCGTTCCACTGCTCTTAAGTCGGGCCTGTCCCTCTACAGGAGGGATCTGCAAAAATAGTCAAAACATAGTCTGGGAACTATTTTTGGGGTATTGTTGGGCATCTTTTGAATTTTGTTTTGAGTATTTATTTGTTTCGTCGAAAATCCCCCTGTAGCGGGACACGCCCGACTGAACTCTAGCAGTCGGGGGTCCACTGCTCGCAGAGTGCCTACTCGCAAACGTCCAAAAAACACATGTCTGCTTCTGTGTGATGTATCGTAGGTCCCCCGCGGGGGGTGCAGGCAATTTGCGAGTATTGACCTTGCGAGTCGTGGAACGCGCTCGTCTAGGGGGGGAGGAGGAGGAGCTCGGGAGGGGAGGAGGCGCCGTGGAGCGAGGGGTGCACGGTGCCGGCGCGCAGGCGGTGTCTGCCCGAAGGCTCGGCCGTCGCCGCTGGCCCACCCGTGGCTGGCGCTGCGCAGGGTGGCGGTCGCCGGCAAGCGCCTGCGGCACCGCAGGGAGCGGGTATGGTCCGGTGGTTCGAGGGTCACACTGGAACAACAGAGAGGCAGGTGCTCCGAGGCGGGAATTTGTCCATATCCACCGCCTGGAGGGTCAGTTTTCGGAGCCTCGGCAGGCGGTGGATATGGACATGTTCGGGCCCCTGGGGGCCGAAGTATATCCAGATCCACCGCCCGCTGGGGCACCAGGACGTCGGTTCCCAGGCGGTGGATATGGATAAATCCCCGCCTCGCAGGTGCTTCTTGGGCAAGCTCCCTGCGGGCACTGCATCGTGCGGCCTCGTGCCCCTGTTCTTAGTGCAGGCACGGAGCCGATCACGGAGTAAGATGCTGCCGCTGGTCCGTGCGAAGATTGCTTCTCTTGAGCCGCACTTGCTAGTTCCTACCCTGCCCCGCGAACGCGGCTCGGACTTAGACCATGCGTGCTCTAATGTATCTTCGCGCCCCCCCCAACAAAAAAAGATACCCCCAAAGTCGCCCCTGGACGGCCCGGGAGGACCTCAAGGACGCCCCAAGACGGCCAACGATGGCTCAATATGGCCCCAAGACAGACGGCCCAAGAGGCCTCCAAGACAGCCGAGGAGGGCCCCAGGAGAGCCCCAAGAAAGGCCCACGACGGGGAACCCGAGCTGAGATTTCGAGCCCTCCGCCCCAAGATGACTCCCGAGCCCGCCGAGAGGCCCCCTAAGAGGCTCCCATCAGGCCTTAAAAGAGGCCCCAATGAGGCTCCCAAGAGGCCCCGAGGAGGAGGAGGAGGAGGAGGAGGAGGAGGAGGAGGAGGAGGAGGAGGCGGAGGCGGAGGCGGAGGCGGAGGTGGTGGAGGAGGAGGAGGAAGGAGGAGGAGGAGGAAGTGGAGGAGGAGGCGGAGGCGGCGAGCGAGGAGGACGAAGAGACATCCCCGAGTGCCGCACAGAGTGTCCAACCTGCCGAGTGACTCTGCGGGGGCGGGCCCCTTCCCTGTGTTTTCGCCTGCCCTGAGGGCCACCAGAAGCAAAAACCGCCCCGCTCCTGTTAGGAACATGTATATTCGTAGCATATTCGCCTCTTGGGCATTCACGGCGTCCAAGACGGCCAAAGAGGCTCCCAAGACGGCCATGGGTCCAGTGCCCGACAGTGCACATCTGACACGTCCCCAAAGGTGCCCCGAACGGCCCAAGAGGGCCCGAGTCGCAGAACTGACGCTCTTGATGTCTTCTAGGTGGCCCACAGCGCCACCAAGACGCTTCACGAGAGCCTGCAGACGGCCCAAAACGCCACCAGGACGCTCCAAGAGGGCTTCGAGGGGCCCCCCCAGAGGACCCCAAGAAGCGACAATCAGTTGTTTTCCGCTGTTTGGGGGCGTTTTTTTCTCGTGCGCGCTCAGGATTATTTCCGCGACCCAGCGCTCCAGGACTATGTACGTCAGAGGCCCCGGGAATCGCCACGAGACGGCCTAAGAGACTCCCGAGTGGGCGCCGGCACGGCCCAAGAGGCGCCCCCAAAACGGCTCAAATCAGAGCCCCGAATCATCAGGGGTAACTCGGGTCAGGGATAACTCGGGTTCGTTTTCGGGAATCCGAGCCCGAGTTATCCCGGACCCGAGTTACCCCGGATAACTCGGGCGTCCAGAGCCCCGAATCATCAGGGGTAACTCGGGTCAGGACTAACTCGGGTTCCTTTTTCGGGAACCCAAACCCGAGTTACCCCGGACCCGAGTTACCCCGGATAACTCGGGCGTCCAGAGCCCCGAATCATCAGGGGTAACTCGGGTCAGGGATAACTCGGGTTCCTTTTTCGGGAACCCAAACCCGAGTTACCCCGGACCCGAGTTACCCCGGATAACTCGGGCGTCCAGAGCCCCGAATCATCAGGGGTAACTCGGGTCAGGGCTAACTCGGGTTCCTTTTTCGGGAACCCAAACCCGAGTTACCCCGGACCCGAGTTACCCCGGATAACTCGGGCGTCCAGAGCCCCGAATCATCAGGGGTAACTCGGGTCAGGGCTAACTCGGGTTCCTTTTTCGGGAACCCAAACCCGAGTTACCCCGGACCCGAGTTACCCCGGATAACTCGGGCGTCCAGAGCCCCGAATCATCAGGGGTAACTCGGGTCAGGGGTAACTCGGGTTCCTTTTTCGGGAACCCAAACCCGAGTTACCCCGGACCCGAGTTACCCCGGATAATTCGGGCGTCCAGAGCCCCAAATCATCAGGGGTATCTCGGGTCAGGGCTAACTCGGGTTCCTTTTTCGGGAACCCAAACCCGAGTTACCCCAGACCCGAGTTACCCCGGAT